TAGGGTTTTACCAATCTCAACGGTTGGCTTTGACTGGCGATTGTTTAATTAATGCGGAGTGATCGAAAAGAAGATGTCAATAGCTAAAGTTGCAGCTGCAAGGGTGACGATACATATAAGCTACAATCAAAGTTTCATTGTAGTCTGGCTAATCGTTCCTAAGCTTCAGAGGCAGAACATACCTATGAATGAAACCCCACATTACTTCTGCTGTGGACTGTACCTACAAATGAACTGACAACCAGAAGCGGATCCAGGAAAACTCCAAGGGGAGGGTCATGAATCGAAGTGGTGCCCCTACCTATACCCAAAATTAAAAACTCAACGGATTTCGTCCACTTAATTTTGGTGGTGCCCCCATTTTCAGTTTTTTTATTTTTTTATTTTTAGTCAGTATCTTAACTCTTACCCACAACCACATTTACCAATTGTAAGCAAGTATATATGAATGTGTTATGTGTATATATGTTGTGGACGCTGAGTAGTGAGTACTTACCAGGAACGTTATCAGGTAAGCGAATCGTTGTCAGTCCGACGAACTTGACCCTGGCGTCTAAAGGGTCTGTCCTTGACACTTCAGGCTTGTCAGGGGCACCAAAGTCCTCCCAGGGACACCACAAACCTGTCAGGGGCACCTACGGCCTTGTAGGGGCGCCACAGGCCCGCCAGGAAGCAGGGGCACCACAGGCCTGCCAGGAAGCAGGGGCACCACAGGTCTAGCAAGTATACACGACAGGCCTGTCAGGGGCACAACGCCGGCCTGTTGGGCCCATGAGCACCCCTAGGGGCAGGGGCACCACAGTCCTTCCAGGGGCACCGCAGGCCTGTGAGGGGCACCAGCGGCCTAGCAGGGGCACCAGTCAACACAGGCCTGCCAGGGGGGCACCACAGACCTGCCAGGGGCACCAGAGGCCTGTCAGGAGCACCACCGACCTCGCAGGGGTAACTTGGGCCTGTCAGGGGCACCACGGGCCTGTCGAGAGGCACTTCAGGCTTTTCAGGGGCACCATAGTCCTCTCCGGGCGCAGGGGTAGCAGGGGCACCAGAGGCCTGCCAGGGGCACTACAGGCCTAGCAAGGGCACCACTGTTCTATCAGGGGCACCACGAGCCTGTCATAGCCAGGCATCTCAGGCTTGTCAAGGCCCAGGGGCACCACAGGTCTGTGAGGGGCACCAGCGACCTAGCAGGGGCACCAGTCAACACAGGTCTGCCAGGGGCGCCACAGACCTGCCAGGGGCACCACAGACCTGCCAGGGGCACCAGAGGCCTGCCAGGGGCACCACAGGCCTAACAAGGGCACCACGGGCCTGTCAGGGGCACCTCAGGCTTGTCAGGGCCCAGGGACACCACAGTCCTTCCAAGGGCACCGCAAGCCTGTCAGGGGCACCAGAGGCCTGCCAGGGGCACCACAGTCCTTCCAGGGGCATTACAAGCCTGTCAGGGGCACCAGAGGCCTAGCAAGGGCACCACAGGCCTGCCATGGACACCACAGGCCTGCCAGGGGCACCACCGGCCTTGCAGGGGCGCCTCAGGCCTGTCAGGGGCACCACGTGCCTGCCGGGGACACTTCAGGCTTGTCAGGGGCGTTACAGTCCTGTCAGGGCCCAGGGGCACCAGGCCCGTGGTGTCCCTGCTAGGCCTGTGGTGCCCCTGGCGGTCCTGTGGTGCCCCTGTCAGGACTGTGATACCCCTGATAGGCCGGTGGTGCCCCTGGCAGGTCTTTGGGCCCCTGGGCCTCAAGGGGGGGGGGCCATGACCCATGTGACCCCCCCCTTGGATCCGCCCCTGCTGACAACAGCTCTTGCAAGAGTAAAGTCGCGCTTCCTTTTTATGTACTTTATGTAGTTCTACTGTTAAGGCCTTACAGTGCTAAAATAACTGTATAACCTTTCTTTTTCGATGCCCTGTCTTACACTAGGATGATCACGGCGTTTCAAATACATTCATACTTTATTACCTTACCTATTGACCCTGCAAACAACTGTACCACAGCTCGGCTTTCGATTTGAGCCGCTTTGTTGGGCACATGCTTGGGTGAATCACAACACATCTTCCCTGAAAGGATTTATGGTTTGCAGACCTGGGAATTTCACGGACAAAGGCAATAGTTGATGGTGACTGCAGATGTCATTTTCTTTTCGTTGTTGTGTGCTTTGACAGCATTCAGGGTGGTGAAAATTTGATATACCGACGATAGGGATCTCCGTGACTTTATCAAGAAAACGACTAGGATATGTTACAAATAAAGGTAGCTGGAGAGGCGAGAGAGAGAGAGAGAGAGAGAGAGGAGATAGATAGATAGAGAGAGACATAGGGAAGAGAAGAGAAGAGAAGAGAAGAGAAGAGAAGAGAAGAGAAGAGAAGAGAAGAGAAGAGAAGAGAAGAGAAGAGAAGAGAAGAGAAGAGAAGAGAAGAGAAGAGAAGAGAAGAGAAGAGAAGAGAAGAGAAGAGAAGAGAAGAGAAGAGAAGAGAGAGAGAGAGAGAGAGAGAGAGAGAGAGAGAGAGAGAGAGAGAGAGAGAGAGAGAGAGAGAGAGAGAGAGAGAGAGAGAGAGAGAGAGAGAGAGAGAGAGAGAGAGAGAGAGAGAGGAGAGATGTGAGATATTTCAATAAATCCCCCGACCTTTTTCAGGCCCTCTAACAATCAGCATACATTTCCACTCTCACGTACACTCCACTTTACACTCACTGACTCCACACTCCACTCTCTGCTGCACATCCCTTCCCTCTTAGTACCCTCTACAATATACAGCATATACCTCTCGACTCTGCCGCAGACTAACGTAACAAACTGCTGTCCCCGTTCCACCGCTCTCAGGGACGCAATATTGCAAGAGTGATATTGTGTCCAGATAAATGACACATTTACAACTATGCGTCCCAAAATGACGACCCACTTTGGCGTATCTCGAGGTGAGGTGACGGCGGTTGTGTGTTTGTGTGCGGCACTCTGTCTGTCTGTCTGTCTGTCTGTCTGTCTGTCTGTCTGTCTGTCTGTGTGTCTGTATGTCTGTGTGTACGCCACCCTTGTTTACCTCAGCCTGGGTGTAATTATCGTCAATTGTGCGGATCGGATACGACGCTGGCACGCAATAGACGGTACTGGGGCTATATGTCACCCATCCGCTGCGTATTCTGTGGGTGACAATCACTGTTCCTGCCTTAGTAATGCTTCGGAGCTTCGATTCGCTTGCCGAGACATGAGGTAGGGCACCAATACGACACGGATCTCTCTTGTAACTGTATCAATACCAATGAATTGGGAATCACTGATATGAAGTCAATAACAGAACAGTGTGATTTTAAGACTGCTGTTTTTAGAACGCCGAGAGAAAACTCTGGCTTGCTTTTATTTCCTCACCCCTGTTTGTTCAAACCGATAAAGATGTTCTTGTACTGGCATGCTGCTTTGTAGGCGTGCTGCTACAATACATGATCGGTTGTCATGGGGCTGACTGACATTGATTGTTGCCAATTAAGCTAAACGGTTTCATCAGGCATTATGCATTCTTAGCACTATTAAACTCTCCAAAGTCGATTAAATCAGAGGGATAATGAATTAATCCGATCAGTTCTGAATGATCCGTCAGCTTTCATTTGACTATGCAGTCAGCCAAAGGCATCACTGGGTCAGTGGGCGTTCGAACTAACATTAGTTATAGCTCGAGATGCATTAGTCTTGTGGGTGGGAATTGTGAGAAACTTGCACTTTCATCTATTAATATGTCTGTGGTTAACCGGAAGAATCCCACGCTGTGTGTTGCTAGGGGATGTTGAGTTGGGGTAAAGAGTGGTGGTCTGGGAAATTAATCTACATGCTAGGTCTACTCGTATATGCTATCTGAGCCATCGGGGACTCTACAATTACATACTGCACGGTGCAGTGTGAAGCATGTGATACTGTCTACTGACTTGTTAACTTTTGTCATATCGTGACTGTTTTCACTTAGAAAACCAATTAAGAAGTTATCAACATTTAACGGAGGAATTTGGAGACCTTTCGTATCGCTACATTGCAATGTGTTACAAAACAACACGAGGCTGATTGCTTGCCATTGAAACGCAGATACCACCGACGTCTCCGTCTCATACATTCAACATGTATCGAGCAGAGCTATCGAATTGAGCCAACCGTAACCAATTTCGGAGGTGTGGTATCGTTCCTTTTCACCGTTTCTGGCAGCTCGGGAACCGGCATCCGGCGGTTATGTGGAGTGACGTCAGATAAGATGGAAATATGCCTCACATTTGAACCAAATATCATTCAAGGTGTGGCAGGCGTTGAAGTTTTTTCCTCCACCATACAGCAAATAACGCTTCCTACTTTCCAGATGCTTTCGAAGGTCGGAAAATTTGAGATGCACACTTTGGGGGATTTATATGGGGATATGTTACGAATGTTTTTTTTAAGCGTATACCTGCAGTCTACAGAGCTAGTTATTTTTGTTTCTTTTCACAATGAGTCTATAGGGTGTGTTCTGCGCATGCTCTCTGGGACCCAGCATTACCTGTTGAACATTTTTACATGTGTTCATTTGTTGCTTCCCTAATCAAGCGTTTAACGACGACTATTCAGCATTGCAATAAGTGACGAAGATGCGCAGGACTATGGCACAACAAGTCACAAACATGGATGTTTGGACATTTGCTTCTCGTAAAAATCAGGGAATGATGGGTGGCAATAACCATGTGATTGCTGCTCGCTTGGTTATTGCTGTAACATGTAAGTTAGCCAGGTATTTGCGCGTGAATCTTAACCTTATCACAATTAAGCGACGCCCGGAGTGGTATTGCCGAGCGAGAATACATATCGAGAATACAGACATGTAATAGCTAATACCAAAGCATAATAATTATATTTCGTGACCCATTTGTTTCGAAATTGTTTGACCAATGATGAAATACATTTTTATTGCACAAAAACACACCCGACGACTATCATAGTGTCTCAATATAAACACCAGCCCAGCTCTCCACGACAGCCGTCAGTGGCAGCCTCACCTGAGTCAGCTGATTCTGACGTCACGGACGTCCAACCTGCGCTCGTGCCCTCAGGCGAGCAACTGGCAGTGGTAACACCGTCGGTGAGCGCGAGACCAAACCGGCGCACGCGTGTCTTCTGCCGCCCCCGCCCCCGCCCCCGCCCGAGCCAGAGCAACAGGTCCCCCGGCCTGGCCTGCGTGACGTCATCACAGAACGTCACCGAGACCAAATCGATTTGGGGGAGGGGGTGGGGGTGGGGGGCCACTCTGGCTCTCCCGGTGTCGAGTTTAAAGGGACATGTCGACCGTAAGGCTCATTTTGGCGCTCGTCGCGGGCGTGATTCGCCCTTATTGGTGTGCCTGTCGAGACTTGATTGCGGTAAGTGAAGCTGATTTGTGGCTGGAGGATCAGATTTGATTTGAATCAGCGACGTAGACGAGCTGTGGTATTTCGTGGCATTTTCATGCTGACTCTTCCGGAGCCATTATATAAACAACAGGGATTAAACGAAGTTGTTCATGTTCATCTCGTCAAATTTCACAGTCAAGCACGTAAGCGTCCGCTAGAATGATCTTGAATGCCCTTTCCTAGAATCGGACAAAAGATGTAAGAAAGGATGTCAGCGCTTATGCATTTAGAAGATGGTGTACCTCATACATGTTTGCAATGTTGTTTTACGCCACCATTATGAGTGATCTTATTTAATTTAGTTTTGATGTGTTTTTTATTTTTTATTTTTAATATGCACGCCATCGTCGATAAAGTTTAAACGCTTGGTTTACCGGTTTCGGTTGTGTAAACCGTTGAGTTGTGGTAATCTGTGTGGTGAGTAAACCGCTGATATTTGGCACACTTCTATGAAATGGCATCCGAAACTAATCACGAGTAGTTTAACAAAGCCCTGTATGATGCACGATCGCAATTGCTCAAGCCTGCTGGAACCACGTTTGGTAAATGCTCCTGTTTCAAAAATATATTCTCCACCCACAGGTTGACTTTAGAAGAAAATATATTTCCATTTTTAGCAGATACTTCTAAAGTCAAAAAGAAAGCACCAGCAAACACGCGTAAGACATCACAATCCACAAGGAGATCGCAAGTTACACAGGTCAGTGAAGTGAAACCTCGGGACCGCTCAAACTACATAAGAGCATCACATGCAATTGCGTACAAAAACTTCATATGGCATCACTGCAGCTAGCCGACTCTTGAGATGCCAGCCCCAGGAGGACAGTCGTACTCTATGCAGCATTCTGGGTAGACAGCGAACCGAGAAGTGGGTATCGGTGTGCACGAGGGGTGGTGAGCGACCACGCCGCACCTGAAAACAAACGAAATGATGTTAGGACCCACGGTGTAACGATTGCATATATAGTTGATCGTAGAAAGAAAGATTGCAACTTAGGTAGAGGTACTCAGCGCTAAAAATGTCCTATCGAATTCAATTAGAATGAAGCGCTGCAGATGGTCAAACTCAAATTGATTGGCGAAAGATATTTCTATAAACGAATGTTGCTCGCCGCTTTCGAGATTTTATTACCTATCCAATTAAGGTGTAAAGAGCTTGTGTGGCTATACCTGTTGTTTACATCTAGGTACTTTGTTTATAATTTATAATGCATGCTAATGTATAATACTTACGATAAAAAGGACAGATATAGAGCGCCCCTTTCTTTCGTGCACTCCACGACCGAACAGTTTGCCAGATATCTCTTTTTGCCCGGCTTCAGGTAACCTCTGATCTCATGAACGTAGCATTCTTTTTCGTGGCCTGCAACAGATGTGTAAAAGGAACAGTCACATTTACATGCAAAGATGTTACACAAATTACATTTTTAGAGCATTAACTGTATTTTCCTCGTGTTAACAATAAAATATGGGCGGGTGACATGCACTTGTTTTTTGTTTTTGTTTTAAATTGTGTCATCGTTTTTGAGTCACCGTAGAGAGGAAGCGAATTTTAAAGGGACCCTCCCACCTTCAAAAAAGTTTATGAATTGGCATGAAAATGATGTCGCTCGGTTCAGAAAGAGCGAAAACGAATATCTACCAAATTTCACCGAAAAATGTTCACCGGTTTTCAAGATATTAGACTTTTACTTTTGTTTACTTTTTTGGGATCTCCGCTGTTTCTAGCGACTTTATTTTAGAAGTGCGGCGTTTGCGGCAGATGTTGCGCGCAAATAGCATATACCACCGCGTGCTACAAAACGTTTTAGTCAAACATTTAAAAATCGTTAGATATCTGCGCTGACGTCACACATTCAGAGGGGTATTCCTAAGCATTAGCCCCTCTGAATCAAAATGCTGCAATTTTGAAATTCAATATTTCCGATTTAAGGCATTTCTCGATGTTGTGAGTGCCGAAACCGGTAATTGTGAGCCAGGGACCCCATTTTGGCTATCTCAACTCAAATCTAATGTTAAGGTGGGAGGGTCCCTTTAAAGCGCATGTATTTCGTGGCATTCGTGGCGCCAAGTCATCGCCAATTTCGAGATTTTTATGAAATGTGACAAAGTTGACAATGCAATTCGCTGAAGCAGAGGCAATAAAGACCCCGAAAAGACCACAAAACTGTCCGATAAAACCGAGTTTTTTTTAAGGTACAAAATACAACTTGAAGCATACTCTCACCTGGGTGAATTTCCGACGGTTCGAAACGTGCTGCAGCCTCTCCACCGATCACACACACAGTCACAAACAGTAAAACCACCGCCAGCTGCATCTTCGCAATAGCAGGTCACCACCACCGCGTGCCCTGTCAGAGGAGCAGTGCGCCGTCACTCGAGACCGCAGGGCGACCGCAAGCCCTCCCGAGCCCTCCCGCTTCCTTGGATTAGCACGACAGCGGAGACATCTCGCGGCGGCGGAGAGAACTAGTCAGACAAGCTTTGCAATTTCGATAACCTGCACATTGAGTGCACAACATGTGCTCTCTCACAGATATGCAAGTTTTAGTTAGGAGATGTTATAGAGAGATTTGAGAAATGCCATTGATTTGTTCAATCAAGGCTTCTGTTCATGGTCCTGTATTTTTGGCAATGTCACATATGTTAGGTATATTGTACGTCATTCTGTGCTCAGGGTTAAACTGAATGTAGGTTGAACCTCAGCAGCTGCGCTCAATGCCCCTATCTCCTTGCAATCCTCTCTGCACGGAAACCGGTTTTCCGTGCGTCTTTAGGCCGGATTTTCCAGCGCCTCGGTACTGCGTCTGAGGGTGTCGATGTTGTCATTGTTTCCAGTAAATCCTGCAGAAATCACCAAGTTTCGCCACTTGGGATGCACCGATTGCCGGCAATGCTCATTGCTCAAACTTCATTCAATAGACAGCTTTATCTCCAAGGAAATACATTGGCTAAGAAAATGATAAGCTCTTCTCATGGCCAAATTTTGAGTTATGATGCATTGATCTCATAAGCAGCTAATACGCTATAGTGTGGCTTTTCCAACAGCTTATCACTGCCCAAATTAAACCTTTATACCTAACTAGTTGGGACTTGAGAGGAATGTGGATGGCTTCTACTTGGAGTAAGAAGCATAGCCTCGCTGGGTTCAGAGGCCGGAGCGTTTAAATGTGGATGCCGGATGGCTTGAAATGTACCGTTCGCCTCTAGCCATGGGTCGCTGTCGATGGTACGTCCTGCGTTCATTTTTATTTGCAATATAAAAACATTATTGCTAACATTTAATCAAGCAAAATGTAAAGTTGCTTATGATTTTGAAATATTTTCTTAGGAACTTCATCTACAATCGATTTCTTACATGGGTCACAGTGCCTAGATATACGTATGCATAAAAGCACCACGTTAAGAACAGCATACATACATCAATCACTCGGTAATATTCGTCCAATTGTAGCTCTACGATAGAAGTAACCCATGACAAACAATGTGTCGCATTGGTCAGCAATATTAGCGTAATCGTGCATTATATGCCGCCGGATGCAGACACAATGCAATAAAGCAATCTCAGCACGTGTGTCAAGCAGTGCTGGACGCTGGTTTCCATGTAACCGGAGCTCGCGCATTGTAGTCCGAACTCCGATGTATTGTTTCTGAGAGGTTCAACGAAGACTATTTTAACCATCTGAATTCTGATGCTCCATGGTCGTGCTGATTGTGAACAGTTGTGTTTTGGAAAAACAATGCGACCTCAATCCTCTTTATTGCCTCAGCCCTCATAGCATGCATTCATGAGTCAGGCTACAAGAGATCAACCTAGGCTTAGTCATTGTGAATTAAAAAAAGGATTTGTTGGCTTATTTTGCCGAGAGCAGGCTGCTTCGTCCGAAAAAGGCCATCGCAGAGCAATGAGATGATGACACGGTGTAGTGACATTTGAATTAAACAAATTAATTCGTATATACTACTAAATACAAGATAAAAACACAATGGCCAGCCATCTTTTAGCATACTTAACTTTACCTACCCAGCTAACAGGAAACGTTAGTACAACGTTGTCACAACGTCGTGTTTCGGTAAGTTGCGAAATTACGTTTTAATTACGTTCTAGCAACGTTCTGAACGTTGTGAAGCCATGGTTTGGTCCTAAAGTTGTGGTAAAACGTTGTGACAACGTTTTATTGGTACGTTGCAGCAACCGCGCACTTGCAACATTATATTTTGATAATGCATGGTGACATATATGGCCATATAACGCATTTCCTTTGACTTCCAATGCGCATTTTCAGTTTTCATTGTTAAATTTGACATGTATTCACACTAGGACTGTTCACGTTGTCAGCTGGTGGTCGCCAACACGTTGTTAAAACGGTTTTTCACAACCTTGACATAGGTACTGAATAATTAGCGGTGTTTTTGCAAGTAAATTCACCTCTCTCCCTCTAATATATATATATATATATATATATATATATATATATATATATATATATATATATATATATATATATATATATATATATATATATATATATATATATATATATATATATATATATATATATATATATATATATATATATATATATATATATATATATATATATATATATATATATATTCTTTTAGACAAAGACCATTAAACGTAATAGCACTTTCACATTTCGAAAGCTTTGTTTGTGTTTTTATGATCTTATTGACTATTTTCTTGCTGTTTTCGTCAATACGATGTATCAGATCGGCAAAGTTCATGTAAAAATATTCGTTAAAGTTCGACGCGTTTCGAATGTATTATACATTCATTTTCAAGTACACTGTGAGACACTCGTTCAAATAATGTGAAATGCGAAATGTGAAAGTGCTATTACGTTTAATGGTCTTTGTCTAAAAGAAGATTTATTGCCGAAGTTTACAAACACACACATATATATATATATATATATATATATATATATATATATATATATATATATATATATATATATATATATATATATATATATATATATATATATATATATATATATATATATATATATATATATATATATCAGTGTATTTTGGCAGAACATTTTCTTTTAGACAAGTTTTGTTGAAGGCCAGGGAATATCTTGTTTTTGTTAGCTTCTTGCGTGTTTGTTCGATATGTCGAAGTAGAAGTTTTTGATCCTGAGGTAAGTCAAAAATGAGATCCCCAAAGTTCATGTATTCATTTATAGCTAGCGACGTTTCGGCTTTTCCAAAACCATTTTCAAGCTTAATTATGTTTAGCACGACATGAGCGATCACAAATGTTGATAAATAAAGTAAAACATGTTTCATGGTACACGATTTCAAACAAAGAGACATTTTGTGACAGTTATTTTTGGTTTTTCACACTTGTTAAAACGAGGTTCTTAGCGAGTAGAATCCTCATTGCGGAGAAGCAATGTACAATGTTCCGTACTCCGTTAAGCTTAACATACTACACGAGCGCGCACACAATACAATGTTACACTGTAATCTATGTACAATATTAACATCGTTTTGGATGATGCTACTACCGGCCTATGAGAATAAGCTTAGCGTAACGCACGACGACAGTTGCTTGTTGAGCTTTGGCTTCTCTCTACGAATGTATAGAGCTTCAAGAACTTGGAGTCGTCGTCTGTTGTTGCACATCGTCAAGATAGTCGTGTTGTCCGTCAAGTCTTGTGTTATGTGTTTGTGGTGTGTCTGTGTTGTGTGGTCATGGGGTGCGCCGTCACGGAGGTGCATTGTGAGCCGCCGAGAAAGGGTGGTGGTGGTAAGTCCAATGTAATCTGTTTTACGAAGCAGGCAGTCTTCGTGTGGGCAAGAATACTTGTAGATTACGTTGGTGCGTTTGAGTTTGTCATTGTTCTGCGTGGGTTTGTTTTTCATAAACAGTGAATGCACTTTACGACTTTTGTAGTATATCTGGAGCTTGATTTTGACATTGTCTTGTGCCGGCTGGATGTTTTTAAGAACGATATCTCTGAGGACCCGTTCATCTACACGGTACGCTGAAGACATCTGATTTTTCACCAAAAGTGTGATGGTTTATATATATATATATATATATATATATATATATATATATATATATATATATATATATATATATATATATATATATATATATATATATATATATATATATATATATATACATAAATATATATATATATATATATATATATATATATATATATATATATATATATATATATATATATATATATATATATATATATATATACTGTATAGCATACAGTTAAAAGGCGGGTGGGTATTAATTTGATGGTGACTCTGGTTAGCCAGTCTTTGCCGTAGCGCTCCGGAGTTAGTATGGTTTCGGACCGCCAAGTCCGGCACAAATCCGGCTCCCTGCCACCCAAACAATATGCCCGGTTACATAGCATTTTTGTCGGGGCTGTTGCTCACTTCTTCTGCGATAATTTTAACCCGCGCCCTGCTGGGGGGGGGGGTGTTTGAACACCCCCCCTTGTGGTTTTTCGCGAATATCTCAACAACGGCGGCGCGGAGCGCCGCCGTTTTTCGTACACCTTATCATACATCAATTCTACACATGTTGTGAAAATTTCAGACCAAGGTCATTCAAGGTCAGGTCACCAGGTCACTTGAAGTGACCTCACCTCATAAAAAGTTTCAATGTCTGTCATAGCTACACCGAGTGACCGATCGCTTTGAAACTTTCAGCGATTGCTAAGAGCAATAGCATGTACAAAATGTATATCTCAGAATTTTGATATCGATGACCTAAGGTCAGGTCAATTTTGCGACCTCCCCATTATAAGTCAATGGGAGAAAATTGAAATGCGCCTCTTTTGGACAAAAGACATTATAAACACTCCCAAACACCGAATTACAAGTGGTTTAGACACACTGAATATGAAAATGGTGTCCGTGACCCTTGTTTGTGCCCTGAGGTCATCTTAGGTCACGAATGGTATCTAACAGTTTTTCGCAAATAACTTTTGATAGAGGCATGCTAGAGCGATGAAAACGCCTTATATGTGTTCAGCTCGACGATACGGATCGACTGATATGCAATATGACCCTTTCCGGTCAGGTCATGACCTTGACCTGAGGTCAAATTTTCAAGTTGACCTTTCAAGGTCAAGTTATAGTTCATTCGATGCGTCTTGACGAGAGGAACACGATGCCGGTAAAAGTAAGCTCGTACAAGGCTTGGGTCAAAAGTTATTGCAGAAAAACTGTTTCCGAAAAAATCGGCCATTTTTGCAGCTTTTGCCCCCTGCAGGCAAAACCGTTGACGTTAGGTCAAATCTGAGAGAATTACTCAGAAAGGGCGTTAATAGGGCTATCGAATGCGCTTTTCCGCGGCGCTGTAGCTCTATTGGTTCCCGAGTTATGCGTTAGCTTTTTGGAAATTTTCGACATTCGACCTGGAAATCGGCGAAATTTTGCCTTCAATAACCTCTGGTGACCTGACCTTTGACCTGACCAAAAAATTGACCGAAGTGATTTCGTCATTATTTTTTTACGCTCTTTCGAACGCCGCCTTCCGCGTATCGCTGCGTGACCCAGGAGCCGAGTTACAAGGGGGGGGTGTTCAAACACCCCCCCCCCCCCCAGCAGGGCGTGGAAATCCAGGACCCCCAGCGGGGCGCGGGTGTAGCACTTTTCGTATATTTAGATGAGATCATTGTGTAAATTGCAAAGCGTCATTGGCATGTTTTGCAACATCACAGGCGGAGCTAGAGGCT